ATTAGTAAACTGCGTAACACAAAAAACAGACATAGATGAACATGGATTGCGTGCATGCATAGGAGTCGATCATCTGCAATCACCTTGCAATCATTCGACAGAACTTGACAGAAGCCACGAGAACAACGGACACATCACATAAAAAAAGAGTGCGCTGAAAGCGCTATGAACTTCTCGCGCAGCGAGCTGCGAATATAAGTACACAATACACGACGACATTGAATGATATCGTCGTCGACTACAACGACCGACATACTGCACACCTGTACCCCGACGCACCACAAACCATTCAAGCCTATCAACCCGACTTCGTGGCAGAGGCGACGCGCTAACCAAGTGCGCAACCGACGACGATCTTGCGGAATCCCTCTCTCCAACACACTAAGCAGGTGCGCACTTTGCGTCGGTGCAACCCCATCCGCGGACAAGGACGTTGGTCCTTCATATGCCGTCGACCGCCAGCGAAGACGACAAACGATGCCGCCTGCGATTCAAAAAAGTGACCGTTGGCGCCCACGATAGCCTCCGTGTGTCATCGTGCGCACGTCTGGGGACTCCTCCGTTACCCGCACCCGAGCCAACGGTCCTCAACGCCCGCGAGCCAGGCCACGCTTCGCCCACCGCGCTCCACCCCGCCGGCCAATGGCCACCCGTGGGGGCCGTTGCCGTCGTCAACCGGCAGAAAACCTCCGATGTCCGCCCACCGACCCGACAGACCTCTCCTGGACCACCACCTCCGTGTCGATGGTGCCATTCTCACGACGCGACGACTCCGTGAAACGCGGGAATCCTAAATTTTTCAGTAGGTCCGGGGCTACTGGAAAATTTAGGACAATTTGGCTGGGGACTCCTAAATCTTTTAGGACGAGTCCTAACGCCGTTTTCACATTTTCGATTCCCGCGTCCGATTTAGGATTGCGTGCAACCAAGACGCAATACTAAAAACAGGAACTTTTAGGAGTGTCTAACGAGACCCTAATTCATTTTGGCGTCCGCTGTCCAGGAAGACGAATTATTATTATTATTAAAAAAAAAAAAAAAAAGACGAAGTACAGAAGGGCTTTTTTACTCCATTCCAGTCCTCTCTTTTTTTTTTTTTTTTTTTTTTTTTTTTTTTTTTTTTCATTCGAGTCCTCTGCGGTGTGGCATCCCACACTCAGTGTCAGAACTAGAGTCCTCTTACTACCTGGAGAAAGTTTGGAATCAGATTTTTCACCCTTGTCAGGATGATGTCCATCTCTGTCAGTCAGGGCGGCGGTGTCTGTTTCCACCGACGGCAATTCCATCATACCACTGGCTAGCATGTTAGCCAGTACCATCACTCCTTACAGTCTGTAAGTGGAGTTCAACTTGGCGCATATCAATGAGATCATGAGGATTTGGGAAATGTTCATTTCTGATCTTTACAATTTCATAGGGGACGCTGGGCCCGGTTCCCAGCACGTGCTGCTCCCCACGAATAGATTGGAGCAATTGTCCCCCCCACAAAAAAAAAAGATCTTTCCTACGGCCCAGGTATGACTGGTTCTGCCAAACTGATGCGGCCCCTGGTTGTCTGTGATTTCCCTGATATCTCCCCCTGACAGTGTCCCTTCTTCCGTTCCCTGTACCACCTATTCCTTGAATATCAGGTCTTCTTCTTTCATGCTATATTCTTCTCCTTCAAATTCCTCATTGGCGTCCCTTCCCCCTCCAGCGCCAGCTCCACCTTCAGCTCGCGCCACCGCTGTTACTCCGTCCATCTCCTTTATGCGGTTTCTGTCTCTTTCGTCTTCTGAGAAACTTATTTCACTCCCTGCATTTTTGTTTTTGCCTGCCGGTTTTACTTGCACTTTGAATTCTCTTTCCGACTCCCCCGGCTTGAGTCATCCTTCCCCTTCTCTCCCTTCCCTTTTGACTTCTCGTTCTGTCTGCTTTCCACCTTCTTTTCTTTCTTTTCTCTTGGTTTGACCGTTTTCTCTTGTTTTTTATTTCTTTGCTGATTCGACTTTTCGTTCCCCTCCTGGGATGAAGATTCCCCAGATGTTTTCCCTCCTTTCATTAGCTGCACCGGAAGCCTTCGGACACAGAGGGTGTGTTCTTTTTTTTCTTTTTTTCTTTTTTTTGTTTTTGTTTTTGTTTTTGTTTTGTTTGTGTGTGTGTGTGTGTGTGTGTGTGTGTGTGTGTGTGTGTGTGTGTGTGTGTGTGTGTGTGTTTACTGTGGTCCGATAGTCCACAGATCAGATAATTAAAGTGATGATCAGAACAGATACAGTGCACTTGATCTTACTTAGCCAAAAAGCCGACAAAGGTATTCCGGAAAGTTTTCATTCGGGTCGAAACGAGAACGGGCTATATCTTCTCCGAGTTGGGCTACTCCAATTTCCAGGCCAGCCGGAAATATTCCATCCTTGGAGCACGAGTCCAACAGGGTCACCGTGTTGATCTGATTTTTTTCCTCCTTTTGTATATTACTATATTCCTTTCGTGTTTGACCTTGATGAGCGTGATATGGATTCATTTTGTGCTTTGTAAGTCAATAGAGGCTTTGCTTTCCAGCGGGTAATAGAGGGAGGGCGACTAGATTGCTGGAGTACATATCAGGCGCCTGTGCTAGGGTGAAGAGGTCCGCCCCCCCCCTCTTTTCTTCACCAGCTTGCTCAGTCAATCCCCTGGACCTCTAGGGTAACTCAGGCTGCTCAGTCAATCCCCCGAGGACAGGGTAATCAATGCTGGCAGACCTCTTAATCACTATTCTCACTGTTCTCAGACATTCTCCATTTCTGTAAAAGGGACGCTGGACCCGTTTTCCAGCAGGTGCTGCTCCCCACCAATAGATGGAGCCCCCCTCCAGGTGTTAGTGCTGTCTGCTCTTATCAGCAGCACTAACACTGGCAAGGGCGTGTGTTTGTAAAAAAAAAAAAGAAAAAAAAAAGAGGCTTCTATAATAGGAAATAGGGAGGCCAACTCCCATCAAGCAAGCAGCTTTATCTCAAGGTTTTGTGAACAGCAGGTAATATACCAATCGCCATTATCGCCAGACTTCGTAGTCTTGTAGTCCCCGTTATAGGGGGAGTTCTTCTAGGTCGTCTTCTGTTATCTCGGGCTTCGTGGCTCTTCTGTTGTCAACCGAAAAGCGTAGACTGGCCAGTCTACGCAACTGGTCTCGCGGCTGCTACCGGGGGGAGCTGCCCAACCCCTCTGGGGTTGTTGCTTGCTCTGTGTGAGCAGCAGCATTCCTTGGCCCTACCACCATAGGTCACCCGTGGTGGGCAAGCGGCGCAAGGACAAACCTCTCCGGTCTTCTTCGTCACATCCGCGAAGAGTTGCGCTGTGTGCACTAACCGTGGCGGCGACTGGACCGGGGCCCAAGTGCCACTAGCAGCGTTGAGCTACCTCAAGGCCTGAATTTGGACGCTTTTGCCGAGATGTGCAGAAATGGTGTCGAGTTTCCTGAACTGCACGTCTCCACAAACACGTCCACATTCAGGCGTGCAGGTACCTCAACGCTGCTAGTGGGACTTGGGCCCGGCCCCCAAGCCTTCCGGACGAAAACGAACCATTCTTTTTTTTTTTTTTTTTTTTTT